ATATAGCCACCATCGTTTCCTAGCTTCAGCATGGCGGTTTCTGCTGCCGCGCGCATCAATATGGTCACCCTCGTTACCTCGCGTCAACATGGCGGTCTCTGCTGCCGCGCGCATCAATATGGTCACCCTCGTTACCTAGTTTCAAGATGGCAGTCTCTGCTCCCGCATGTGTCAATATGGTAACTCTCATTACCTCGCGTCAACATGGCGGTCTCTGCTCCCGCATGTGTCAATATGGTAACTCTCATTACCTCGCGTCAACATGGCGGTCTCTGCTGCCGCGCGCATCAATATGGTGACCTACCGCTACATAGGTACCGTACGCGTCAACAACAACACCAACAGCAGCAACAGCAGCAACAGCAGCAACAACAACAACACAAGCAGCAGCAGCAGCAGCAGCAACAACAACAACAGCAACAACAACATAGCGACCTACTTTACCGTCTCTATGGCTGATTGCGTTGCTAAGATATGTTGTTAGTGACGTGGTGTATAGTATCGGCACGACCACTGGTTGCCTGTACCGTGAAGCACTCCTGCGTCACGTAAACTACTGCAAAAACTGTTTTCTTGTAAACTGACTCGCGACTATTTAAAAAGCACATAGAATCGAGCGGCATTCCGCAGTCCACTGCACCAGGCTCGTTTAATCGATAGCGAACGCGTGAAGACTGCAGAATATACCCGTTACCGAGAGATCGCGCCGGGTGTTTTTTTTTATCTCTTCTTTGTTGTAGTTTTGCACTTAGACTGATTCCGCTAGTCGTCGCCAACCTGATGAGCGCGGACAGCGGAGACAATAGGAGTCAGTCTATGTCGGAGCGGATATTCTCTCCGTTTCTCTCATTTACGGTTACTCGACGGAGATTTTCGTGGTGCGGTGTTTTTTTTAAATATTACGGGGATCCTGAGCGCACGGTCGTTACATTTAAACGAAGAGGGATTATATTACCTGTGATTCCCACCCGAGCTTTCATGTCTTTCTATGATACCCCGTGTGTGCACGTGGCAGATGGACGTATGTCTGCGAGTGATATGCATCAAACACCAATCGCTGTTCGCCACGAACAATTAATGTGCGCCAGTGAGCTAGGCTGCTTTCGCTCCCTTATTATCTGGTCGTCACCACGCTAAGATATAAGATATCCAATGCTGGTCTATGCTCCCGTGTGCTTAATGCTGGTCTATGCTCCCGTGTGCTTAATGCTGGTCTATGCTCCCGTGTGCTTAATGCTGGACTATGCTACCGTGTGCTCGCTGGGGGAGGTTGTAGATTGATTGAACCGCGGGTTTTAATTACACGGCAAACGTGTGTCAGTGTTTTTACACTCTTTCCTCCCCCTACATACTCACTCAGGGTCTCGCTGCCTCGCCGTCTCTCTCCTCATTTCCTTTCGCCTACCCACCCTGCTTTCTACCGCTAATCGTCTTTTCCTCTTATTTTTTCTCTACCTTAGTCTCTCCCCTTGTCTCCTATCTATCGCCCTCTTTTACTCGCCCTCTCTTGATCCCCCCCGTATCGCTTCCTTTCGCTGCATCCTTTACCAACCCTGTTACTCTCCCTTCATCGCCGCTCTCCGCTCTCCCTCGCCTCTCCCTCGCCTCCCCCTCGCCTCTCCCTCGCCTCTCCCTCGCCTCTCCCTCGCCATTTCCATTTGTTCCGCCTCGCCCGCCATGAATAGTATTCTATGCTCGGAGCTGTTGAAACGCTCGATCTGCTCTCTGCACGCACATCTCCAGTCATGCAGGCATTCCCTGCTAACTGGATCATCGCGTATCGAGCGAATGCATGCCATCATTGCTGCCACCTACTACTACCTGCTGCTGCTGTTGTTGCTTCTGCTGCCACCGCCCCGCCGCCGCCGCCGCTGCT